GTAGCGAGGAGCCATGAAATCAGGCTGAATGAGCTCCGTGGAAGCCACGCTGCTTCTCCACTGAGATGGTGGGGTAGATTCTGGGGCTGTGTCGAAGCAAGGATCTTCGTGCCGCTGAGATGGTTGGCCGGTAGCTCGCTGGCTCTCAAGTTCCTCTAGCTTTGCTATTCTTGCATTAAGCTTCTGCATTTCGCTCGCTTCCACTTTCCTCTTTCTCTCTCGGCTTCTGTAATCACCGCTCTCGGAAACCCATGCAACCACGGAATGGAGCCCGGTGTGCCTCATGTTTGTCTAGGGTGCGCATGATTCCCAAGGGCCTCTGTCAGCTCGTCCTTCTCTCTGTCAGGAATGAACGTCCCTTCCTGCGCTGCCTTGATTGCTTCCTGAAGCTTCTTGACGGGTATTGCAAGTTGCTCGTCCGTCCAAAGACACTCCCCTGTTTCTGGGTCCAAAGTTCCCCCAACCCGAAGAACCAAGTCCTTGAATGATCTGGCCAGTTCAATGTCGCTGGTTGGACCCCTTTAGCAAGCAGGTCTTGCTCAGCTTTGTCCCACAACGACTGGGCTTTGTAATAGCCACCTGACCTCGTGTGATGGTGATACTTCTTCTTTGCAGCATTTTTCTTGTTTGTCAGTGACCTTTTCATACCCTTTTTCGTGCACATGTTGATGGTCCTCCCGTGCCTTCGGTGTATCTTTTGTCTTCCCATACACGCCTACACGTGCATCATGTCGATTGTCGAGCGGACCTCTAGGTCTTTCCAATAGGGTAGGTCCCAAAATATAGATTTCTTCTTCCACATGGATGTGCATCCCTCGGCATCATTCGGAACAGATAGTCCGCCGGGACCCTTTCCAAAGATTACTTGTAAATCATTGACCATAGCAAGTATGTGATCACCAATACGGACAACGAGCTTCTTCCGGTGATCCGCCTCGCCTTTGAAATGCTTGCCTTTCTTTCGACATTGATGGTTGGTCAGAAGAAATCGATGATGTCTCAGGTACACATTCTTCCTGCATTTATCTAAATATATACTTTCGGTGTCATGTAAATAGTGTGTGCATGCGTGGTATCCATTGTTTGTCTATCCTAAAAGGTTACTGAGAGCGGGCCAATCATTGATGGTTACAAACAGCAACGCATGTAGGTCAAATTTCTCCTGGTCGTGCTCATCCCACACACGTACACCTTTTTCTATTCCACAGTTGTGAAAGTTCTTCAACTAATGGCCTTAGGTACACACCAATGTCGTTTCCGGGTTGCTTAGGGCCTTGGATGAGCACTGACATCATAATGAACTTCCACTTCATGAACAACCAAGGATGAAGGTTATCAATACATAGAGTCACGGACTAGGTGCTATGATTGCTGCTCTGCTCCCCAAAAGGACTAATGCCATCCGCGCTTAAACCAAATCATACATTCCTTGCCTCACCTGCAAAGTCCCTCACATTCTCTCGACTTTTCTCCACTGTGACCCATCAGTGGGTGCTCTCAACTTCTCATCTTTCTTATGGTCCTCCGTGTGCCATCGTATCAACTTGGCATGCTCTTTGTTTCTGAACAGACGTTTCAACCGTGGTATTATAGGAGCATACCACATCACCTTGGCAGGAACCCTCTTCCTGGGGTGCTCGTCGTCAGCATCACCAGGGTCATCTCGTCTGATCTTATACCGCAATGTACCACATACCGGGCATGCGTTCAAATCCTCGTACGCACCGCGGTAGAGGATGAAGTCATTAGGGCATGCATGTATCTTCTTCACCTCCAATCCTAGAGGGCATAGAAGCTTCTTTGTTCCATATGTACTGTCGGGCAATTTGTTATCTTTTGGAAGCTTCTACTTCAATATTTTCAATAGCTTCTCAAATCCGTTGTCAGATACACCATTGTCTGCCTTTTATTCAAGCAATTCCAGTGTGGTATCGAGCTTTGGGTTGCCATCTTCGCAACTTGGGTACAACCCTTTTTTGTGATCCTCTAACATGCCTCCGAACTTCAACTTCTCCCTTTCACTTTGGCATTGTCTCTTTGCATAAAAAATGACCCATCGAAGATCATCATCGGGCACATCGTCTGGTTCCTCTCGATCTTCAGCTTCCCCCATTGCAGCATCACCGTATTCAGGGGGCAGATAATTGTCATCATCCTCTTCTTCTTCATTGTCTTTCATCATAACCCTTCTTTTTCGGTGCTTGGTCCAAATATTATAGTGTGGCATGAAACCCTTCTCAAGCAGGTGGATGTGAAGGGTTTTAGGGTCAGAGTAGGACTTTGTATTCTCACATCTAAGGCATGGAAAACACATAAAACCATTCTGCTTGTTTGCCTCAGCCACTTCGAGAAAATTATGCGCGCCCTTAATGTACTCGTAGGTGCGTCTGTCACCGTACATCCATTGCCGGTTCATCTGCATGCATTATATATAAGTAGTGTGTAAAAAACCATTACAGAACATCATGAATAGAGAAGTGACCAAATTAATAGAAGTTCATCATCACATTAAAACCAAAGTAGAGTAGTGATCAAATGTTATTACTGAAAAAACATTAAATTCATACATAGTTCTCATTGAACAACATATAGCTCTCTAGAGCATCTAATAAACCATACATTAAAACTATGTAAAACATTTCAATGCAACAACAAATGTGATCATAATCGCAAATAAGGTAACAATTGATCCGACGACATAATGATACCAAGCCTCAGTATGAATGGCATATTTTCTAATCTTTCTTATCTTCAAGCGCATTGCATCCATCTTGATCTTGTGATCATTGGCGACATCCGCAGCATGCAACTCCAATTTCATCTTCTTCTCCTCAATTCTTTTCATTTTTTATTCAAGTAATTGTTTTTCTTTTTCTACTAAATTTAACCTCTCGACAATAGGGTCGGTTGGAATTTCTGGTTCATATACCTCCTAGACAAAAACATCCATGTCACGTTGGTCGACATAATTGTCATAAACATTAAATGAAACAAATAGTTATAAAAGATAATATATAGCACGTCCAAATCATAGACAGAACAAGGGCCGACGGAGGCGGATACAAAAACCATTTATAATAACAAACAATAATAAAAGTAAAAAAATTATACAACTATCTATCTAAATCATACAAGTAAGAATTTGTTTTCTTTTAGAAAGAAGATAAGAACAAGCTCACCACGGTGGTGCCGGTGACGAGATCGGCGCGGGCGATCAATGTCGGTGAGGCCGGGGACGGGACATGACAGACCGCCAAACCTAGACAAATCTTGCGGAAAATGGAGTTTGGACAAGGAGCTTCGAGAGGAGAAAGCTTAAGTGTGGCTCGGGCATTTCATCGAACACCTCATGTGCATAGGAGGTAAGCTAGAGCACCACAAACCTCTCCCACGGCTGGCCAAAAAAACAGAGCAGTGGCTCTGTTCGCGGGCAGGGGCGGGGTTATATATAGGCCTCTCTTTAGTCCCGGTTTGTGGCTAAAACCGGGACTAAAGGACAACCTTTGGTCTCGATTCCAGCCATCAACCTGGACTAAAGGTGATGGGCCAGGAGCGAGGTCCATTGGTCCCGGTTCGTGTCTGGAACCGGGACCAAAGGGATCAGACGAACCGGGACCAATGGCCCCTGAGGCGCGGCCGGCGTCCTGGCCTCACGAACCGGGACTGATGCACCCTTTGGTCCCGGTTCGTGAGTGAACCGGGATTAATGCCCTTATCCCGGCCTCAATCAAAGCCTTGTTTTCTACTAGTGTAGTAATGTACGCTCTCGCGGTGCAACAACATTTGAATTGTTGCTTTTAGAGCAAAACTTAGTCCTAAAAAGAATTGAATCTCTTCTCGACAAAGTAAAGAGAAACATGGTAAAGCAATAGAGAATGACTTAGCTTTGCTATCGTCATCTAGAAATTATATAAAAAAAGTCATGAAAAAAGTGATAAATAAAGCTCAAGATAGTAGTTTGAAAACTTGGGTTGTCGGAAAGCACATGATACCTCGTCGCTTTATGACTCGGTGGAGACATGTCATAAATCGCCATCATATTCTTTCTTTTCTTGACACACTTTCCAATAGATGACAATATATAGACATTTGGAGCCCCACCTACCATTTTCAACAAGGGTAGATAAGTTGACGAATCGACTCATAAATGACCTAATTGATGATCCGTTAACAATTAACATAACTCAAAGTTGAGGGTTGTGCCAGCTGATCCAAAACGATTGAGTCACAACTTTTAGCTAGCTAGCTAGCTAATCACAATGTTAAATAAGCCACCAATGGTTTGAGTGGCATGGCTGTTGGTAGCTAAAATGCTACACCTACACAAGTTATTAACGTAAAGTTACGTTCTTTCCTCCCTCAACCAATCATCCACCTCCGATTTTCACGGGGTGAGGCTGGACTTTTTGTTTCTTCCAACCAAATCAAACCAGATCACCTCTTACGTAAGTTACGTTACAATATTTACGTATATGTAGCAAAGCTCGCGCTGCTAGTGCACCAAGTACACGCGCGTCACATGTTATGCTGGTTGAAAATAACCGTGCAGCTTTTTCGGCCAATGTATGCATTTGTATGTGTGCAGGTGCAAAGAAGTTAAGAATCCGGGCCACTGCATGCATTGCCAAAGAGGGTAAACGCGCTCTGTGGCAACTTCGCCGTAGTTTCCTTGGATCGATGACAAGTCATCGTATGCGTGCGTAGGTGCAGCTCAGGCTCGGCACGCCTGTGCAGCTCCTCGCTGCGTCGCTCGGCTATTTAAGCTGCCCTTCGGCCGGACACCTCCAGGCTCCAACGCGATCCCCTCCCGCATCCCACCAGCAGCCAGCGAGGAAGCAGCTCCCACATCCGACCAGCGACGGTGAGTCCCCGGCCGGCCGGCCTTCTTCCCTTTCCTTTCCTCTCGAGATTGGTTGAGATGGACTGATTTCTTCTTTTGCGACAGAGAAGAGCCAACTAACCCCGCGCTGTTGTTCTTGTTGCTAGCTTGGATTGGATCCATGGACGCCCCGCAAAAGAAGGCTAGATCCATGGACAAGGACGGCAAGATGCCTCCGCTGCCTCTGACTGTGGGCAAGAAGAAGACGGCGTCTCCGTGCCCGGATACTGTCCGGCTGGTCAGCCAGTGGACACTCTCCACCGCCTGCTTCTTCCTCGTCGTCTTTGCAGTAACCCAGACTCTCGACCACTACCACGTCCCCGTTCCCTGCAGCCCGGTACGTAGCTAACTAACTACCCTGCCTGGATGCTGGGCATTCCCTTCCGATCGATCGCTCATGCGCCAATTTTGTTGTCCATCTGCAGTCCTCGCTCGTTCTGCGGTGCGTCGAGCTGACGGACGCGGGGGCCGTTGAGGCAGCCAACGCCGCCGCGGAAAGCGCCGGCTGGATCGGGATGCTGTGGTGCGGCACGGCACAGGCGGCCGCGGCGGCGCTGGCGCTGCATCTCCCATGCCGCTACCGCCGGGTCCGCCGCGCCCTCGCCTACCTCGCGCTCGCGCTCGCCATCGTCGGCCACAGCTTGTACGCCCGCGCCACCGTCCTCCTCTACGCCGCCGACCCAGGGTCCCTCTTCGCGGTGATCGGCTGGACCCTGATCATAGCCTTCTTGGCGGTGGTCGACCTCCTCTGCTTCCTGGTCCTCGTCATGGGACGTGAGGCGTAGATTGACGATATGTAGCTGCTGTCGCAGTGTCAATTTGCTAGATTGACGATACTACTCGTTACTAGTACTTACTACTCGAGTGCCCAGATGGGATATGTAATTACTTTGGATTGACCGTGGTCACTCTTTGGAGTACGTACTATGTGCTATGAAACATCTGTGGTTTTATATATGCATCAATGCATGGGCGTTCGTTGGGGAGTGACTTGACCTGAGCTGAACCTCCGTTGAGATCTTGTTGACGTACGTTGTGGCTCCGCTTTAGTTGGTCTGGAGAACGTGCACTTGCGGCTCCCAAAGGGTCCTAAACAAACGGAGCTCAGCCTGTCTTGCACATCGCCGTACCTCTGCAATCTGCATTCTCAGCAGAGTCTGTGCTTGTGACCGTACGTGCTGCATGTTGGTGTGGATTGCTCATGGGTGTTGTGCTGCAGAGTGTCGTAGGTGCTCCACCTGCACATCATTGTAGGTGCCTACGTTTCTCCTGAGAATGCAGAGGTACCACCCGAACCACACGAACGGGCAACGTGGCATAATCTCTCGCGTCGTCCATTTCTCAGCTCCCCCATTCCTCTCCCCTGACCAGACCTCCAGCGACCTGCGGCATGCGGCGACAACGGATTTGACCAGATGCCCTAAACCCAGGCATGGGTGGTGCCCGGGCAACACCAGGAGGACACCGCCTTGAACCGGCGGGGGGCATGGGCTGCACCGGAAGGTGCAGCGATGGAGCCGCCTCGTCGCTGAGAGGAGCTACGCCGAGGGACTTTGACACATTGTTGCAACTTGATGATCACATCATTATATAGCCGACACAGGCTGCCACAATGCACCAAAGGACGGTGGAGCAAGCCCTACACTTTGGCGCATTGTTGTTTGAAGCTCAACGAGGGGCCCCTCTGGGATAATAGCATGCGTCGATCAAGAAGTTCAATCTCGAGGAGGGAAAACTTGAGACGAAGGCTGAGGAGTTTGTTGAAATTGGGATCGATGACTTTTAAAAACCTATTGAGATTATCCGGTGCTCTTTTTGATATTTAAATGTATGGTTGAATTTCTATCGCCCAATGGTTCATGCTGAGGCTGCATGGCAGACATTTGATTTTTTTAGAAGGGGCGGATAGTTGGTGCATAGGGTTGGATGGTCACCCCGCTATCCACCGTCATTTGGGGTATCCAATTTTTTTTGGAAGGCCTTGAAGGTGCCCTTATCCCATCTCCTATTTTCAGACCACATGGTTTCCAAGCTCTATGCAACTCAATTCCTTCACATGTTATTTTTCGATTCCTAGGATTTCTCTGCCTCTAGTCCGAACGGAGCCTAAGGAGATATTGGGTGAGTTGGGCCTTCACCCTCTTATATGATCCTTAGTTTTTATAACGCACCGAGGTTCAATATACAAACAATTAGACCTCATAGCCTGGAAGTTGAGTCCTCCATAATCTGCCTCCAATAGGGTGTGTGTCCATTCGCCGGGTTCTATTTGTTTTGACAAACTTTTAAACCGGTTTATTTTTCTTTTCTTCTTTTTCCCCATTGTTTGATTTTCCCTTCCATCTTCTCAGTTTCTTGTAAAGATATTTCCAATGGTATATTACATAATTTTATTTGTCCATGTACAATATTTTCAAAAGTCTATGCCCTATGCTTTTAAAATATATAAACATTTTAATACATGAAAGTTCTTGTACACATGAATATTTCAAATACGTGATAACATTTTTATTTCATGTGGATGAACACTTTTTTTATGTTACATGAGAATTTTTCATTATACACGAATATTAATTATCCACTTTTGTAAAATCTTTTTACATTTTTAAATATATTAAGCACAATAATTCCAAAATATACAATCATGAAATGAGCCTCGCTGAACCGGCCCATGTTAGTACACTATATGTGAGGTCTCTTATTCTCAGTCCGTGGTTATGAATAGTCAGGCAAACATCTGAAGTGGCTTAAATAGGCCGGCCATGTGGCAGCCTATTAGGATCTTTTTCGTAACAAAAAAAATTAGTCAGTCAAAAGGTTGAGAAAAATATTGTCAAAAACAATTTTTAAAAGGGAAAAATACATTGTGAAAAATGAAAAATAGTCACCGGCCAATATAAAAATGTTAATATACATGAAATAGGATATCCATCACGTTTTTTTACACATAAAACAATTATATTCATGCATTAAAATGATTTCATATATATTTTTACAAAGTTCATCTATATGAAATGAAATGCTTACTTCAACCTTAAATATTATTCATAAAATTTAACCGTGTATTATAAACACATGTAATTTTAAATTTTAAATATCTTCGTCTATTTATGAATATGTGTTTCATGTATGAATATATGTTTCATATACTAGTGGAAAATATTCATCTCGAAAAAGTAGTAAAAATACATTAATTGAAGAGAAGAAGTCGAAAGGGAAAATTGGATAGAGCATAAGTATACCAAACAAGAAAAAAAAGTAATAAAGGTTCAAAGCCAATCAAGCCCTAATGTGTGCAAAATGACCTTTTGCACGAGAACTTCGTTTAATAAAGACAAGCATCGGTCATAAATAAGATTAAAAAAACAGAGTGTGACTTTGAGTGTTATATTGCATGCGGTGAGACTTGGCATCAATGAAATATTCCAAAATACTCCTGCTGTCCCTTCATTCTAAAGTGGCCACGAACCAAGAAGGGATCCCATTCCCTACTTTCCTGTTGCCATTGATCATAGAATACCACCGGTCTTTTCTTGAGGTCAAGTTACCACAATAATCGCGCGTGTGTTTTGAAAAGGGGCGCTTTATTACTTAAAAGGTGTATTACACCCGGCCTCTGCATAAATAAGATGCACACAGCCAACAAAGTCCTTACGACAAGTGAAAATAAAATAGGAAGGCGAAATACAAAGAAAAATGTATATTTGTATAGCGCCTAAACCGTCGGTGGCCCAATCCTAAGATCATGTTGCCACCAATGTTGGGTAAAAGTATCCCTTGCCGTAGCCTCCAATCGTGTACACACCTCCGTAAATAGGTCTCGATTCTCCACTCGTTATAGAGAGGACCATAAACGAAGCGTCCCAGTACATCTGTAGATAACCTGCATGAGCGAAGTACTTTTATCGTTAAAAATCTTATCATTTTTACATAGCCAAAGCGACCAAATCACGGCAAGCGCTCCCACCCTAAGTAGAATTCTGAACCTGTGATCAATTCCATGTAACCAGTTGCCAAATATATTAGCAACACTACAAGGAGGGTACAAGCCAGAAGCTATTTGGATGACTGGCCATATAGCACAAGCCAATTTACATTGGAAGAACAAATGTTTTATTGTCTCATCATGCGGACAAAATACACATTGCGTACTTCCATGCCAATTCCTCTTAATAAGGTTATCTTTAGTAAGAATGACTCCGCGACGAAGATATCATGCAAAGATTTTATTCTTAAGAGGTATCTTCATCTTCCAGATCATCTTATTATTATCAACTGGCACGTCATACTGGATCAAAGCTCTATACATAGACTCCACCGAGAATTGCCCATTCCCATGTAGGTTCCAACGAAATAAATCGGACCCCTGTGACAATTGTACCATGGTTAATCGTTGAAGTAGTATGTTCCACGATTGGAGTCTAGGTCCAATTAAATCCCTTCTGAACGTCACATTGGGCGGAAATGATTCCAAAACCTTGGCAATAGTATCACCCTTGTGACGTACAATATTGTATAGAGCTGGATATTGTTCCCGGAGAGTAGCATTACCTAACCACTTATCCTCACAGAATCTAATTTCCGAGCCATTCTTAAGTGAGAAGGACACATAGCGGAAGAAATATTTCTTCGTTGCCATTAATCCCGCCCAAAAATTAGAGTCCCCAGGCTTCCAGTATACCTGGGATATCGCCTTTGAACCCACATATTTTCTCCTAAGGAGGGTTTGCCATACACCATCTTCGGTCAACAACTTAAATAACCATTTGCCAAGGAGGGCCCTATTCTTAACCTCAAGGTCATGAATTCCCAACCCACCTTGGTCCTTAGGACGGCAAACCATACTCATTTAGCCAGGCGATATTTCTTTCTATTGCTATCTCCTTGCCAAAAGAATCTTGATCGGAAATAATTCAATCTATGTAAAACTCATTTTGGCAATTGGAAGAAGGAAATCATATACAGTACCATGTTACTTAGTACTGAATTTATGAGGACCAACCTCCCACCCAGAGATAGCAGTTTACCTTTCCAACTGCTAAGCTTTTTTTGTAGTCTCTCCTCGACGTGTTTCCATTCAGCATTTGCGAGTCTCCGATAATGCATCGGTATACCCAAATAAGTGATCGGAAACTGGCCCAACCCGCATCCGAACAGGTCGGCATACAGATGGGCCTCGTCTTGAGCCTCGCCAAAACAAAACAATTCACTTTTATGGAAATTTATCTTAAGCCATGAGAGTTGCTCGAATGTTGATAAAATTAATTTCAGATTTCTTGCTTTCTCGAGGTCATGATCCATAAAGAGAATCGTATCATCGACATATTGAAGGATAGAGAGACCACCATCCACTAGATGATTCACTACCCCATCAATTTGGCCATCAACCTTGGCACGCTCAATCATGACCACTAACATATCTGCCACTATATTGAATAGCATGGGCGATATTGAGTCACCTTGTCGCAATCCTTTCTTCAGTTGGAAATAGTTGCCAACGTCATCATTGACTTTAATGGCAACACTACCTCCAGCCACAAAACTATGGATCATTGCGCGCTACTTTGTAGAAAATCCTTTCATTCTGAGAGTCTGTTGAAGAAAAGACCACTTGACTTTGTCATAAGCCTTTTCAAAGTCAATTTTAAGAACCACCCATTTCAGTTTTTTCCGATGCAATTTGTGAACTGTTTCGTGAAGGACAACAACCCCATCTAGGATGTTCCTACCTTGCATAAAAGCAGTTTGAGAAGGACGAACCACATGTTCAACAACCGAATTGAGC